AACAGCAAAAAAAAAACAACAACTTCCACCAACAGGCAAAAGAGAGGGATAGAACACTTAGAAGACTCTCTTTGAATTTCAAAAGCTGGAAGGAACAATAGGTTAGTGCTGGATAGACATATAATTACCCCAGCCCAGAAAAGTCTCTCCCTGTCACTCAAACTACAGAAGGCATGCAATTTTGTAAATGAAATGCTACACATCCCAGGTATTTAAAATAGGTTGTAACTTATAATAACTTTTAAAGTAAATCCACCACTCAAAAAATGATCAAATTTATATATATAATATAATTTATAGAATATGGCAGATAATTGGGTTACCAAATGTTCCCTTTAGCCAATCCTTTAACTGCATGGAACATAAGAAGAATCCTATTGGGTCAGACTAAGGGCTTATGTAATCAGTTATACTGTCCTGTTCCCACACTGGCCATAAGCAGGACAAGAAGGCTATAATGTTCTCTTTCTCCAGCAAATCTTCTTTATTTATTTGTATCAGAGTGTTGTGCAATTTAAAATTAAGGACATATAAAAATATAGGTAAAACAAATTAAAATAGTAAGAATATGTATTTATTTTATTTTTATTTATTAAATGTATACCCCGCCCATCTAGACACATGTAGACAATTTTTGAATAGAGCAGGCTACATCAACTGCCCTCCAGAAGACTGGATAGCCTGGCGTGCTCTGGTCCATGGGGTCATGAAGAGTTGAACATTACTTAATGACTAAACAACAACAACACTTCAACTGTGTTGGGACATGAGTTAATGACTAAACAACAACACATCAACTGTGTTCTCTTAGCCATTTGATAGATTTTCTTTTGTACACATGGTGGGGAACAAATTGCATGTACTGCATTGATTTATCAATCACAGAAAAATTGTCCTGTTTTCCTACTCAAGTTGTCCCATTTTACTTGATCATTCTTTGATCTTCCAACTTTGCTTCATAATCTATTGACTTTCAGATGGTCCAGCTAGCATCTTGTCCTTGTGGGAGACATTCTTTGGCACTCCATTGAACAAGGTGTGTTGTTTTTGTTCTTCATTGAACAAGGTGTGTTGTTTTTGTTCTCCATAGGTTTAGCCCAACCTCTTTTGTTTTGATATTTAGACCTTGAGATGTGTGCAGAAAACTCTTCCTTGATTTTAGCCATCGTGGGGATTCATGTCCATTAAGTGGATGGGTTTGCTGCTGTATTCCCTTACTTTGTTCATTATTCACTAGCAAATCCAGCAATTGATTCTGACAGACTTACTGCTTCTGATAGTGAAAATAACACTGGATTGTAATTGGCGAGAAATCACTTCTTTTGAGATTAAAAATGGCTGCATCTTTCCACTTCCTGTTTTGTGAAAGTGTTTCACATTATAATCTGACACGGAAAAAAGTAACATATGAAACAGGCGATGTGTAGTTTGTTATTTCACCAGGGAGTTCAGGTCAGTTTCTCCCGATCAAAAAGAAAACAGGAAACAGGTGAAGGAGGGTAGCATTCACATGGTCAAGGGATACACTGTGATTTCAGCAATAGTTTGCAACAACTCCCAGGTTTTTTGTGAAGAGAGCATATGGGCTCCATGGCCTTCCATGCTGAAATGACTTTTGAGAGTACTTACACGACTCGAAAGTGTGACGTTCGAATCAGTCTTTGGACCGGAGGACTATTGCCTCCATTCATAGCTGCAAACCTACAGGAGTCCATCAAGCTGCTTGAGAGTGCTTCACTTTGTGGATTGTGGCCTTCTTCTTCTAAGTTACTTTTTCACTTTGGGAGTGGTCAGACTGAACCTCCCCTCCAGTTTCCTTTTGGCATTTGTAGAAGTGCTTCAACCCCCCTTGTTTCTGGTTTTCTTCTTCATCTCTTCTGTTCTTTTGAGTTATTACTCTTCATCAACTTTACTTTTCCTTCACTCTTTCCCTCCCTCGCTCTCCTGGCCTCCCACGTAACCGGGCGCATTCCCCGACGCTTGTGACGGCTCTTTTCACTCTTCCTTTCTGACAACAGCAGCCGCAGCAGAGCCGGCAGAGGCAGGGTTAACTCTCAGGAATGTACCAGCGAGGAATGTGCATGCAGATGAGATGGATGCTAATCTCATGCTAATGAGTGGCTGCCGCCGCCGCCGTTCGGGGCTGAGCCGTGTGTCTCTCTCTCTCTCCCCCCCCCGCTCGCCCCAAGCTCCAGCCCGCCACCAGCCTCGGACCCCCAACCTAGGCGGCGCCTCGCGTTAGCCTGGACCCCCTGACCTGCTGTGGCCGCAGAAGAGGGGCGGAAGGCGAAGGCCCCAATTCAGATATGGTGGACTGAAATTCCGGCGAGTTAGCCTGGCGGACTGGGGGATTTTGCCGCCTCCACCCGGCCAAGGCTCCTAGGAAAGGAGCGCGCGTGTGGGGAGGGGGCTCCGTCTTTCTTTCCCGCTTTCCTCTTTTCGTCCTCGTTTTCCGTCCCCTATGGAACAGACGCCCCCCGCGCTCGACCATGCCTAGAAAAGTGGGGAACGGGCAGCTCCCCTTGCCCGATGGCTGGGAGGAGGCGAGGGATTACGATGGGAAAGTCTTCTACATCGACCACAACACCAAGCAGACCAGCTGGATCGACCCTAGAGACAGGTGGGTCGAAGACCGAAAAGGGTGTGGGTGGGTGGCTGGGTGGGTGAGTTGGGGGGACGGGACCCGACCATGTGGGGGGAGAGGGAGACCCGTGGAGTCGGCCACACTTGTTGCCCGAAGTTCAACAGGAGTTTCTTTGCGCCTCTCTGGCCGCCCCACCTCCGCCCCTGGGGGAAAGAGCCCCATATAGTTATATAATAATCTGCCGGGGGGGGGGGGGGGGGGGGAAGAAAAAGAGGAGGCTCCCGGGATTGCCGTGAAAGGCAGCGCGGCTAGTGGAGATAGGCGTTTGTGCCGTTTTCGGCGTGTGTTGTGTGGCGAGGGGTGTGCGCTGGAGACAAGAGAGTGAAAGTGATTCTCCAAGCTGGAAGGGTGCAAATGGGCGAGGCGAAAACTCTGGGGCATGTAGTGTATGTTTGTTGTGACGGAGACAAGAACGCTCTCCCACCCCCGGGACATTCATATCGCCCTGGCAGTGGGGCTTGGAAGGCCCGCCACCCCCATCGTCTCTTGCCTTAAGGACTCAAATCAGCTGGAGTTCTCTTTCAAAGCAACCCTCCGCTCACAACTTTATAATAATTTTCTCAGATGACTTTTCCTTTAAAACAAACCCCAACCAGCGTCCCAGTTCTAGTGGACCTTTGTAGCTTTTCAGTATCATTGTAGGAGGTTTGCGTTTCTCTTTTCAAAATCAACCCAGTAAAAAAAGAAAGAAAGAAAAAGAAAAAGCAGCTGGAAGTTCAAGAGGTTCTGAGACTGGCCTTTCGAAAGGTGAAGGCTAGATTGCATTCCCCGCATGGGCCACAACAAAACATTTTTCCAACCGTCTTTCTCAGGAGTGAGCCAAGTTGAGCGAAGGAAGGGCAAAAACCCGACAGAGGAGAGTGTTTGTTTTTGGAAGATTTAGTAGGTTGCATGATTCTTTCTTCTGAAATCTTGGATTATGAAAACCAACAAGCAACTGTATTCCTTTCTCTATACCTCCCATCTCCAAAGTGCAGTCCTTAGTGGAGGAACCTGAGGGGAGTCTTAAGAGGCCTCATTATTTTTAAAAGAAATAGGCCTCAACTGTTTTCTTCTTTCCCTCCCACTTCAAATTGTGGGATGCTACTTACTTTTCTAACCCTTTTAGACCTCACCAATAAATCTTGAAAATAGTAATGGGAAAGCTTTCATCAGTTTTAGGAAGATTCGCTTAGCTAATTACTGTTTTGGAGGACACCTGCATTTCTGTTTGAGTTGTTTCTCTGACATTGGCAACCTGATCTTTTATCTCTATAGTTAATGAAAAACAGTTTGCCTAATACAGACTCCTCTTTTTTGTTTGTTTGGATAAAGATTATATAGTTCTCTTTTCTTTACTTTTCGGACTTCAGTGTTGTTCATCTTTATTAAGCCCAATGGAAGCCAGTTATCTCTAATAAGAGGCATTAGAAATTTATGGCACAACTGTGCTAAATTATTCATAAAGTTCTTGGCTAGTATTTCCTGATGGAGAGAAGAAAGAGTAGCTGCCATGTCTCCTGCTAGTGTCAGAGCTATGGTGCTGCCACACTCAAAAGTTTTGACATGCCACGTGGAAAGTGTCAGACCTGTTTCAGGGCTAGCCATGCTACTGCAGTGTAATTCTATTTAAATTGTTAACATACTTTCCTCATTTGATATTTCTTCCCCTCACCCAGAATGTAAATGTTAATAAAGTGATGGACTTCATAGGAGTGGGTAACATCTTGCATATGTTTGGCATTTTACTTAAAATGGCACTATTATGAAAATTAAATTGTTTTCAGTTGCTTAGACATTTTAAATTATGTTTACAAATAACTTAGTCATGTGTTGTTTCATGAAATAAATTATACATTAGCACATCCTGACAGTGTGTATCCAGATCACTGTCAAATATTGTATTTTTGTTGTATTGGATTTGCTATGTTTTTCATCTCAAAATGTAGCTAATGTTCGTCCACATTTTTCTTCTTCTACTAACCAAAGTTGCAGATATAACTTCAAAAACAAGTTTCCTCCCAGTGTACTAAGAAAATGAGCTGTAGTTTGTCTCTTTCATCATGTAAAATTTGCAATAGCTACTGGCTTTCAGTTCTCATTAATTTCTTAATTTATGAAGTAGGAGAAGACTTATACTCACTTCTGAGCTTGACTGTACTGTATTTTCTTTTACAAGAGGTAATGAAGTCTTTGTTTAATAGTGCAGGAAACAGTGTTTAGAGTAGCTCTGTTAATGCTTGTCAATCTCTTTACTCACTGTTACAAAACAAACAGAAAGGAGTATGTTGCACTTGGTACTTGAGATAATCCATAACTAATGTGTGAGTCTCAGCTATGAGACAGAATTATGTGCACAAAGGGGAAAAGTTAGGCTATGCAATGCCTGCTATTTGAAGTTAATCTCCATCCAGGATTTGATTCTTGATATCATGCAGTGCATGATCCACCTTGTAAAGAAGAATACTATGGCTTGATTCTATGTAGATTTACTTGTGATTGAATTTTAGTGAATTCCGTTTGTGGCCTACTCCCCCCGAATGTGCATAGGGTAACAGCCATGCAGTTGCAACAGTTCTGTGCGTATTTATTGAGAAATAAGTAGCACTGCCTTTCATGGGTCTTACACAGAGGTTTGTTTGTGATTGTATCTTTAGTTCTAGTTATTTCATTATAATTTATTCCCATGTAAAAGTGATTCAGAGTGTAGTTCTATGGCTTGATCTTATTGACTGCTGTTCTGCCACAAGAACATATGGAAAGCAAACATAACAGCACAATAATGACGTTTTAAAAGGTCTGGGTAGCACCGTTGAGAAGAACCTTTGTCTCATGGCCACATTAGACATTACCAGAGAAATGCTTAGCCCCAGCCCTTCTTTGGGGGAGGCCTACAGCTCAGTACTTGATCATACATTCAGTCATTGGCCTCTCCAGGCAGGTCTGGGAAATATGTGTATTCAAAATGAAGATGTGTGGGCAAGACTTTGTACACAGTATGGAGTTTGGTAAAGAATGCTTTGACTATGTCACACATTTGGCAAGATGATGAAGAGTGCTGGGGGTGGGTGAGATATGAATTTGAGAGGTATGTAATTGTTTCTCTGCAAAGTACCTAACTTAAAAAAAATTTAGACACCTCATTCATTTCAAAACTTGAAATGCGTTTGTCTAAAGGGAAAAATGTCTGGGTTGGAGAAGCACCCTTCCCACCAGCCAAACCTTGCACCTTCCTAATCAGCTGGAAAATCTGGGTTTGGGATCGTATATAGGCTGAGATAATGTTGCATATCCTTTTGAGGCTTGGAGAGTTTTCCCACTCTTGGATAGTGGGTTAGGTGTCCAGTGATTTGTGTGAGGGAACTTCATACCTTTCTAATATCAGGACTTTCAATAGTGTCCACAGTCAATTCAGCTGCTCCTGGTTCTGATGCAGGCAGTTCTACAAAATTTAATTATTTTTATCTTACTGTGATATTATTATTCCTTGTTTTAAGGCTGCAAGATTCTAAAGACTATGGAATATGATATGTGATTACTTGGAAGTAGTTTCTGTTGTGTCCAGTGAGGTTTACTGCCTGATAACTATAGTGATACAGAACATTATTTTACCTCCCCCCTCATGTCCCCACAGAACTGCATCAAACTGTGTTGCATGTTCCTGCAGAACAGACACTGCAAACAGAATGGAGGCCCCCCTGCTCCAGCAATACTTGACTGTCTTTCACATTTGTCCCAGAGGATTGCATAGAAGAGGAGAGAAAAGGGAAATCCTGTTGCACAAAATTGAAATACACTCATTGTATGTACGAGTGTCTTGGGCCTAGTTCACACAATCAGTAGGTGGAATGTTAATACTGTATTATTTTAAGCTACAGCTAGTAGATTACTTGGCTAAATGCTTCCCATGAAAAAAGAGAACGATCTAAAGACGTAGGCATAACCTAATAATCTAGAATTCTGCTTCAGCCTTCAGTAAGAAGAGGGGGGTTGTGGGGATGAACTGCCATTCATAGTTCCTATACAGGAGCCAGAAGAGCCCATGATATTTTTCTGCCTGGCACCCCCTCTAAACAACATACATCAGCATAATGTTCAAAACTAGTCTAGTTACTTTGGCACCTAGGACAGAGAATGTCACAAACCTTTTTCATCCATGGCAGTAAAAACTGTAACAATTTGCTGCACTTTCACAACACTCAGAATCGGCTGCTTAAGATAGCTGTCTCTCTTTGCCTGATGGTAGAGCCAGGCTTGGAAGCCAATCTGAAGATAACTGTCCTGGACTTATTCCGGAAGTCACATTTGAAGGCACTTCCACTCAAGCTACCATTTCGGTGAGAGAAAGCTGCATGTAGTCCATGGACACAGTCCATGTGAAATCAGTAGCTTCAGGTTTGCTTTAGTCTGTGCCAAGACAGTATTCCCTGTGCATATTTTATATAAGTACAAACATTACCTATTTTCTGGGATATGCAAATATGATGAGAGGATCCTCGTATCTACTGGTAATGAAGCAAATACAAGAACCAGTGCTTGTATGGTTCACAGATACAGAAACAGTCTTTTGAAGCTTCCCTCTGAAGGTGTTGTATTAGAGTCCTGGTTTGAAGATGTTTTTTCTGAAATTTCAGGGTTAATTTTCAAGTCAACTTAAAATAGGATACATTGCACTCTCTGTCTGTCTGTCTGTCTGTCTGTCTCTCTCTCTCTCTCTCTCTCTCTCTCTCTCTCTCTCTCTCTCTCTCTCTCTCTCTCTCTCTCTCTCTCTCTCTCTCTCTCTCTCTCTCTGTGTGTGTGTGTGTGTGAGAGAGAGAGAGAGAGAGAGAGAGAAAGCTATGAAGAAGACCTTGTAGCACCCTAAAGACACATTTATTTCAATGTGTACTTTTCATGGATTACAATCATTCACTTGGAATTTGTGATTGTTGTCAAAATGGAAAGACAATCATGTAATATGGTGATTAAAGGTAAAGGTAAAGGTTCCCCTTGACAAT